GTCACTGCACAAACAATGGACTGTGAAGTCACTAACCATGATCTCCGTCACCTCTTTAATCACGGGAGAGACTGAGGCTGCTGTATCAGACCGATGCCAAGGCAAATCCTCCCAATTTGGTTTCTGGTTCAAATGGTACAGTAGCTTCCCCTTCTTCAGACATTCTCATTCCCATGATTATAGAGACAATGGGGAGAGGCAGAACTAGCATGGTCCCATAAATGCACGTGGGTTCCTTTCATACACTATAACTTATGATTGAATAGGACTTTAGTGAGCTCAGATCACACACCTGACTCCATGCCTTAACTTATGATTGAATAGGACTTTAGTGACAGAGCTCAGATCACACACCTGACTCCATGCCTGAATGGGTATGAAAATCAGGGTCTTGACCTGCTCCTTAAACTGACATTGTAATCATTCCATCACAATGAATTTCTTGACATCATAATCTCGTAGAGTAAGGGGGCAAGACTATACAATCAGGGTTCTGTGCAGGGTTCTGAGAGTACCTGACAAAAAAAAACATACCTCATCTCCTTCTCCTCCAATAATTGTGTTAAGTTTCAAAAAAAAACATTACAAGCAATTACAATGACAGGTAAAGAAGCTGAGAACTACAGAGACAATACATACATACATACATACATACATACATACATACATACATACATACATACATACATACATACATACATACATACATACATACATACATACATACATACATGTATATATATGACAAAAATAATAACAGGCGGATGTATGAATTCCTTTGCTTAAAAAAGAATGCTCCAATGTTAATAAATTCTGAGCATTCTTGACCATTGATGAATGGTGCATACCAATTTAAATTACTTTGTTTCAGTTCTCCACACTATGTTTTTCTAAGTATTAACTGTGTGCCATTAAGTCAATTCTGACTTATGGCAACTCTTATCAGGGTTTTCTAGGTACAGAGTTATTTAGAAGTGGCCTACCATTTCCCTTCCCCTGGGGGCACTTGGGACTGTGCAGCTTGCCCAGGTCCATACAAGCTGGCCCTTCTTGCACAGTGGAGAATTGAAATTCTAACCTCTGGCTCTACAGCCAGACACCTAATTCACTGAGCTACTTGCACCTAAAATAAAACATATGTCCTTTGGCTCCATGGAGTCTTGAGGAAAATCTCTTTCCAAATCTGTTTTTTCCTTGAGGAAAACTGGAGACTTGGGGAATTTTCTCTAAGTGCAAATACTACGGTCAGAAGAGGGTTTTTCTTAGTACAGGAGAAACAGACAAAAGATAAAATCACTTCTTCTTGCTTGTTCTGATATCTATCAGCAACCCAACTGATGTAATTTCCATTCTTTTAAAAAACTCAAACATATATGAAGAGACATTTATTATCACATTCATATTTTCACTAAAAGAAAAGAAGGAGGGGAGGAAGGAATAGGTGCGCAAAGCGCTCTGAGAAACAGACGAAAATGTGCATGGTACTATACAGATGAGAGAGACCCATGGCGATGCCCATCCATGGTACTGATGCAAAGAAAACTCACAGAGTTCTGACTCCTGTCCTCTGAAGATGCCGACCACAGAGACTGGTGAAATGTTAGGAAAACCTTCAGAACACGGCCAAACAGCCCAGAAAACCCACAACAACCATCAGAAAGAAAACTACTGGCTAAGAGAAGTGGGGATTTAGAGAGGTGTGAAGTGAGAAAAGAGAAAAAAGGAAGAAGTAGAGGTAGATGAGAACAGTGCACCAAGAGACCTGGGACAAATCAGTACTATACTGACATGAGGAAGGAAGCAACAGAAGCACCACGGAGAGGGGAAAAGAGAGAGAAAGGACGTTTAAGAAAAATGGGGGTGAAGAGAGAAAATCTGCTAACAGAACGTGTGCTGAAAATGGAAGCCCATTCTAAAAGGTGACAAAATGTGATTTCAGGGGTGATATAGAAATGCAGCTCTCTTGAATTTATAAACATCTAAAAATGTACATCCTTGTTTTAAGAGCTGTTAAATAAGAGCCACATTTCAGCAACCCCTCTCTGTTAATTTCAAGCCAGTTATCGATTCACATTGCCTAACCATTTTTTCTTTTTTCTCTTCTCTACCCTAAGCAGCACTGTTGCCTTCATTTTCATTTCATAACAGAGGGTACAACAGATGATTATGTTCCACCCAAGAACACAAGATGGTTGTATTTCAGTGGCAGCTTGTGTTGTTTTGGATAGATTTCACAGACTTACCCAGAGGTGCCTACTTGTCTGGTTTAATTATAAGACCCATAATTTTAAGAGTTTCTAGGTGCCTGAAATTACAAGAAATCTGCTATAAGATGGTGAGGAGTTTGGCTTTCTTATAATAAATATTAAATTTAGAATTCTGCGTTGCACAGGGGGATGGGTAGAGTTACACGCAGTGCATACGAAAGGATTGTAAGTAAAGGTGTAAACATGAAACTCTCCTTAAAAAAAACAGGACTGATGCAACCTCGTGCCTTTTCAGAAATTTGTCCTCGACCTGTGCTTTTAAAATATTTGCAGTATGCAATCAACATTTTTTTCCTCTACTCATTCACCTGCTGCAACTATTGTTATAGAATGTAACAATGTTGAGTGCAAAAGAACAAGAAAAGGGAAAGCACAGATAACAGGAGAAAAGTGAAGAGAGATTAATCTTAAGTGTCTCTAATATTTTATTATGCACAATGCATTTCAGAATATAATTTTCTTCCTCAGGGGCATTTGAAATAAAAATGAAAAGCAAGAAAAACAAAATTATTTTTTTTAAAAAAAACCCTGAAAATAGACGTATTTATATGGACAAAAACAAGAAAGGGGCTTGCTGTACCCTGAAGACTAACAAGTTTCATCTGGCATAATCTGTTAAGGATGCAGCCTACTTCTTCATATGCCACTTAGCAAATTCATCAGTTTCATTATACACAAACAAAAACTTATGGTCCAATCCCACCATGAGCATTCTTGGCATATAAACACTGCATGTAGATAGATCAGTTTATCCCTTGTGTACAGCCTGCAGAATTTGTACTTACTTGCTTTTAATTTTTATTTCAAAGGCCCCGGAGAAAGGAATTTATATTCTAAAACACAACAGTGGGCTTAATAAAACATTATGAGCGCTTCAGTTTTGAAACAGCTTCTCTGTTCAGTTTTGTACTACAGCCAATGGGTCCAATTCAAAAGTCGCATCCATGGTGGTGCTGAGGATTAATAATTGAACTTTGCATAAAGTCATCAATGTCTTTTTGCATACTGCTTTTCTCCAACTACAGTACATGATAAACATAATGAACAGGACCTCATGGTGCTGCCATGGCAAATAAACAAGAATACAAACATTGCAGAACTCCCCAGGACACTGAGTCTTTTGAGTCTTTTAATTTTCATATGCAGAACGACAAAATCTCCTTTCTAACAACACATCTCGCCCATCTTGAGTGTACTACATAAGAACTTTGCCACTTGAGAACCACCTTCCAATATGGATTAAGTTCTTAAGTAGAGACCCCACTGTAGTGTAAGCACCTCTAATTCAGTATGTCAAGAAACCACAAGAGCAACCCTCAAAAATTAAAAACATTACATGGATGTAGGTTGGTATGTTTCTAGAACATTTTACATCTTGTCTTACAGTGTGAGTACAAGAGGGGGTGGGGTGATGCAAATATATTTGAGATGAAGTTGGACCTGAGAGGTCAGGTTTCCTTGAGTCAATTTGCTTCAGCTGTGCACACAAGAGCCAGGAAAGAAAATGAAGGGGGACTGATACTCAGGTTTGTTTGCAGCTTGTTAACTGTTTAAACTTCATGACTCCATGGACCAGAGCACGCCAGGTCCTCCTGTCTTCCACTGCCTCCCAGAGTTGGGTCAAGGTCATGTTGGTAGCTTCGATGACACTGTCCAGCCATCTCGTCCTCTGTCGTCCCCTTCTCCTATTGCCTTCCCACTTTCCCAACATCAGAGTCTCTTCCAGGGAGTCTTCTTTTCTCATGAGATGGCCAAAGTATTGGAGCCTCAGCTTCAGGATCTGTCCTTCCAGTGAGCACTCAGGGTTGATTAGGTGTGTCATATGCAAGACACAGATGATAACTTTCCCATGCATATCCTTCCAATCACATGGTCCCACGTTTGAAAGCCCTTCATAGACTATAGTAAAAAATGGGGGAAATTAGCATGGCTACTGGCAAGGGACGTGGTGGTGCCATGGGTTAAGCCACAGAAGCCTCTGGGCTGCAAGGTCAGAAGACCAGCAGTCGTAAGATCGAATCCATGCGACGGAGTGAGCTCCCATTGCTTGTCCCAGCTCATGCCAACCTAGCAGTTTGAAAGCATGTAAAAATGCAAGTAGATAAGTAGGTACCACTTCACTGAGAAGGTAATGGTGTTCCGTGTCATGACCATGGAAACTGTCTACGGACAAAACGCTGGCTCTACAGCTTGGAAACGGGGATGAGCACCATGCCCTAAAGTCAGACACAACTGGACTAAATGTCAAGGGGAACCTTTACCTTACTAGATTTTGGAGGTATAGTTTTTTAGAAGTAACTTTTCCCATCACCTCAGATGTAAATTAGGTTATACTTGTTTATTTTAATAAAGGCCAAACTAAAAGCAAAATTCGGTAGCACGTTAGAATAACGTTTGTAAAACTGAGAGCCTATTAAAAGATACAACTCTTCCAAATTTTAGGAAAGGAATAGAGGGCATACGCGGCAAAACACGTATTATTTGCAGTGCGCCCTGTTAGTCCGCCACAGCAAAAACAACGTAAGACCCTTTGGGTACTTACAAAGTTGTATTTGGATCTCTGCTTATATAGGCCTCATGCCAAAGAAAACTTCCTCGTATTTAAACTGCCACTACCCTTGTTATTGTTTCTGCTGCTGCATTATTATTACCATGGCTACTTTTCCTTTAAGAGTAGCCGACAAATAGCAATATTAGTAAAACAGCTTGTCTCTCCCTCGACGCGAATGAACCTCATTTAGACCAACTAACGGCCAAAAGATCCGACAAAAATATCTACCCTTTCACTTTCTAGGGCGCCTATTCCTGAGGTTTCCGTACAGCCCCTGTTCCTAAACTGCAAGAGGAGAAGCGGCGGCGGCGGCGGCGGCAGCGCCACAACTCTCCCAGTCCTAGACGTTTCGGCCCTTCCAAGCATGGCTCTGGGGACTGTCATGCGTGAGGGAGGGAAAACGGGGAGAAGGGAAAGGTGAGGGCCGGAACACCCCTCACCAAGATGGCCGCGGCGGCTGCCGGAGTGACGCTTCCGCCAACTCAGAGGCTGCTGCCTACGTGGCTGTCCGGCGCCTGAGCAAAGAGGGCGGCGGAAGAGAGAAAGGGGACTGTGCGTGAGCCCCGTCCGTGGAAGGTGGAGGGCGGGAAGGAGAAAATGTCGGAAAAACGCCAAGACAGCCTGAGCGTGGCTCAGCAGGTGAGGCGAGCGGAGCGTTGCCTGAGCAACCGGCGCGCGACGGGGGGGGTGGAGGGAGGAGGAAACGTGGGTAGAGCAAGGCGGCTGTCTAGGGGCGGTCCCATAAATGGGCCAGTGTTGGGGTAGGTGGGTGGGAGACGGAATCCTGGGAGGAGTGAGGGCAAGCGCTGCCTCTCTTAGGGGATAATAGTGGGATTCTGCACTGTACCGAGAGGGTTTACAGTTTAACCCTGTATGTGTTCTAGGCTGGTTAAGACAGCGCTGATAAAGAAGCCGATATTGAACTACAGCTGCCATCACGTTTCACCGCTGTCTAGGCTGGCTGTGGCTGATGGGAATGGGAGTAGGAGTTCATCTGGTGGGCTACGGATCTCAAACTCTTTGAGTGGAGACAGAAAGCCTAGCACAGCTCTCCTCAGTCACGAATTCATTCAGCAACTTGTTTTATTCTCCAAAGCTCCTTTTTCTAGGATGGAGCCATAAGAGCCACTGGAGTGTGTAGTGGTCGCTAGTGTCAGAAAGGTTGTGGGTGCTTCTGGCACTGGCTGCTCTTTGTCTAGTAGGATTTGGGCCCCTGTGTAGTTCTTCTGACTTTTTCTCTTCAACAGATTTAGGGGGGAAACATTAAAAATGGTAAGAAGTGGAGGGAAACAAAAGAATCAGAAAAAAGTTGAGAATAGTACAGTAATCGTAGACAAATTCCATGAATGAAAGAGGGCACTTGCATAATAAAAGTTTCATCTGGCAGCATCTTTGGACTAGGGAGACTTAATTTAAAAAGATAACTTCAGCATGAAGCTCATAGTGACCTTGGCCGAATTACAATCTCTCAGACTAACACACTGTACAGAATAACATTGGCAAGAGAGGGAGAACCTATTTGATGCCTCAAACTCTTTAGAACAAAGGTAGGACATAAATGTAATATACATCATACTGGTCTAGTTCATAGGATTATAGGAGAGACTGCTAAACTAATGAATGTATGACACTTTTATTAGGGAAATCACCATGAAAGGCAGAACTAATGGCATTTGTGAGAGGCGCATGCTGTAGAAAGGAAAAGAAAGAAAAAGTCTCATACAGAGTAGGTGTTAAATGCTTCTATTCAGATTTTTGGTATTACAGATTTATATAAAGGTAGACTGGAAATGTAGAACCACGGGGATGAAGTTTTTCTGGAGTAAACGACTGTGATTTTGCTTACATGGAAGAGGTCTGGCTGAGTTCAGTGGACTGAAAATAGCAAGTGACAGCATGCTGCAAAGGGTAGGTGTGGAATGCCACAGTGACTTACAGACTCTCTAGAAAAAGTGGCAGTGAATTGAATAAATTGTGTGGGCAATTTGTGGTCCTCCAGATGTTTTCTGACTAGAGTTCCTGTTTCTTTTACTTTGGCGCTAATGCGTATTTCAGGCTAGCAGATGCGGAGAGGTAGTTGTTTCCTAATCCTGGATTAAATGAAATTCCTTTTGGGGGATATAGTTGGACCAAGCTCATTCATAAGGTCACCATAATTCAGAGACAACTTGATGGCACATAATAACAACAGCAGTTAGGTAGAAGTAGTGGATGCTTTTTGGAAGCTAACCAGCAGAGCATGAAGGTATTGTCAATTTATGATTACTATCTGCAGCATATAGTAACTGCAATATAGAAGCCTTTTTAAAAATATATACAAGCCCACTTTTCTTCATGAACTAAATAATAATAATATAATATAAACAGTTCAAGAGCAGAATAAGCTAATGCTATAAAAATTCAGAGGTAGAATTTAAGTTTTCTTAACCTATGGTGGCTTGAATCAATCAACTCCATGTTAGAGATAGAGAACCTAAATTCTTCAAATTTGTTGGGCCCCAGCTCCCACCAGCCCTGTCCAGAATGACCAGTAGACAGGGATAATGGTGGTTCTGGTCTAGTAATATTTCAAGGGCCACCGGTTTCCTACTTCTGTCATAGGTTAATCCTATGATTTCTGAATTCTCTACAGTTTTTTGCTTACCCTGAATCTAAGGCCAGTAAGAGCAGGACTGCAGTTGTGGTGTGTACCACCAAATGCATTGTGGAATTCATTTGGTCTTATATCTGCTTTGGCCTGGGCTCAGGCTCCAGGTATAACAGCAGTCCTCTTTAGCAGATATTGGACTGTTAGATTTTTATATGGTTTCTTTTGGCTGTTACTGGTAAAATAGGGACATGGAAACAGTTTTTGTAGAAACAGGGACTACATGGGAGACAAGAATGCAAGTAAAGTGATTCCTGTCAGGTGGGCTTTTTTTGGACGTATCATCTGTTCGTATGATGATGCCCCAAATTTATGGTAGTTCATTGATGGGGAACTAATATGCTCCGAATGTGGACATATTGGAAATTAACGATAGAGTACACCCGATTTGGAAAAAGTGAGAAAAGAACTATTGGAGCTTAGAAAAGATAGGCCTAAAGAGAGTTTAATCAGGTCTATGCACAGCACTCCTGCCAACCTAGCAGTTTGAAAGCATGGAAAAATGCAAATAGATAAATAGGTACCACCTTGATGGGAAGGTAAAGGCATTCCATGTCTAGCCACTCTGGCCACGTGACCACGGAAACTGTCTACGGACAAAATGCTGGCTCCACAGCTTGGAAACAGGGATGAGCAGGACTGGACATTTGTCAAGGGGAACCTTTACCTTTATGCACAGAATTTACTATGATGTTTAAACCTCGATATTTGGCGGAACGCCTTCTACCACCAAGTTCTACCCGTGTCACTCGCGCGAGCCAGGAGGTGAGGTTGAGGAGCCTAACGCCGAGGGAGGCCCGGAAGGAGAAGACAAGAAATCGGCACAGCCAAGATCCAATGGTTGTTGTACGTTTTTTGGGCTATTTTGCCATGTTCTTAAGGTTTTTCTTCCTAACGTTTTGCCAGTCTCTGTGGCTGGCATATTCAGAGGATAGGAGTCAGAACTCTGTTCTGTGCTCTGGTGCAGTTTGTGGGATAGTTGAGTATTTATAGCTGTGGGATCAGTTTTTGTCCTTCACAGTTCCAATTTACACAGTCTATCAGTGTTTTGATTATGTCTCTCTTTTTTTAGACCTTGTCATGGTCATAAGTAAATCTGACCTCCTATTAAATAAAATAAACCATGTGCAGGGTTGCAGGTCAGCAACTCTTCAAAACATTAAAAAGACAGAAACATTATCCCTTATCTGCTGGTTTCCCTTTTCCAGACAACCCTCTGCCCTGAGTGTTCAAAAGAGGTACCCCTACATACACAGCAGTATGGAGTGCTTTTTTTTCACCTCATGTTTCCACCTCATCTTTATTTCATGGAGGTTCACTCAGCCTCCATGGCAGAGCATTTGATTGGTTGCAAAAGGTCCTGGGTTAACTCTAGTATCCCCAGTTGAAAACTGTTAAAATCTAGAATTCAAAGGATTGTTGCCACTCAGAATAGACTATACTGAGCTAGATGGTCGTACAGTCTTGGTAGCATGAAGTGGGTACATTTGAATGCAGAGGTTGAAACTGGAGTAGTGCAAATGTGGTACAAAAACAGGACAGCCAAGAAAGTGGCCATGTTTGCTGGGGGGTTCTGGGAATTTTCATCCAAAACAGGAATTTTTCCAAGCTCTGGGGAACAGTTAACAGAGCCTTTCCAGTAGAGGTGGGGAGTTATTTGGATGGCACTCAGTCTACTTTCAGAAACTCAGTGGAAGTGATCAGTTAAAACTTTTGGCAATAATTGTTTATCTTTTCTTCATCGAGAGCCAAACATAGGATAAATAGTGCCTCATCATCGTTACAGCAGTGTTGCCAAGGTATATGACCCAGTCAGAATTTGCAAAAACTAGCAAAGTTAAGCAGTGTCTTGCTGATTTGTATTTACAACAAACAATATCACACTGAATGTTGAAAAGGCAACATACTTTTATGTTAACTGATGGAAGTTTATTTTGTAGTTAGCATTCAAACAGCCTGTAGGACTTTGAAAAAAGATTAAAGGCAGTTAATTGGTTTCTTCTACCCTATCTGTCTGCATAGAGTATAGGCAAAAACAAGAAACACACATTAAATTGTGCAACTTCAGTTGACACATACTTCAGTTTGCAACCTAGAATAACCATCCTGTTGGTCCATTCCTATTGTGGCCCAGAGCTTCGGCCCTGCTGCTGGCATGTGACCAATGTAGCCTCTTAATTTTCGGCCCCACTGGACAGGGTTCCGCCTCTCTTACACGCAAATTCACCCCTCCATGTGCAACTCCACCTCCCTGCACACTAGGTTCCATCGTGACTGGAACCTAACATGATCATTGGGAAAGGCTGTATTTTAAATATGTACAGTAATTAGAATCCTCATTGTAATCATATCTCAGAAATAACACCATCAGAACTACAAAAACCAGCAATATTAGTAACAGCATACATACTGTGCCAATATTTAACAGATACTTAGGTTTTCGGTTAAAACCTGTATCTTTTTTATAATACCAATCATTGTTTTTATAATTTTTATTGACTATGACTGGTATTTTGGAATATTTTTGAATAATAAATTGTGTACAGTCAAGTCAATTGAAACTTATGATGACCCTTCTCAGTTTTTTCCAGATATAAAGTACTAAAAAGTGCTTTACCAGTTTCTTTTTCTGGCCATGTGCTGGTACCATGGAGCTTGCCCAAGGCCTTGCAAGTTGGCTCTTCTCCCAGGAGACACAGTTGAGGAAGTGAACTCGTGAACAGTGTTGAAATCCATGGAATTGCCCAGCCAGCTTTATTTTACCTGGTCAGTTTTGTCCCATCACTGAAGATGCTTTCCAAATTAAATGAATAATCAAAAGACCTCCTTTTATGTGTAGAGATCCCACCTGTTCCACCTTTGCAGTTGGCTTTGGAGATGTTGCCTTTAAGCTTCTTACATACACCACCCCTGCTGCTTAGTTGTTTGGCTTTGATTTCAGTGTGTTCTCTGTGTAATGAGATAATTTGAGACAGTGGTATTGAAAGTGACA